AAAGAGTTTGCAATGTAATAGGTACAGCATTTTATATATATATAGTTACATGTATATGTATATGAATGCAATATATATATATATACACACTCTTGTATCTCCCATTTTAAGTAACAAGTGATAGGACAAGAGGAAACGGCCTCAAGTTGCACCAAGGGAGGTTTAGATTGGATATTAGGAAGAATTTCTTCACTGAAAGGGTCGTCAAGCATTGGAATGGGCTGCCCAGGGAAGTGGTGCAGTCACCAACCCTGGAGGTATTTAAAAGACTTGTAGATGTGGTGCTTAGGGACATGGTTTAGTGGTGGATTTGGCCATGCTATGTTAACGGTTGGTCTTGATGATCTTACAGGTCTCTTCCAACCTAAATGATTCTATAAGGCTCTGCCACCATCCCTGTTACCTAGTAATCTCCTGCTATGTCAGTCCTGCAACTGACAGTGTGCTCACTCACAGGTCCCACTTCCGAACTTCCTACATAGCCAGCCAAGTCCCCCTAAATACTTTGCATCACAGGGAATACATGCTGATTCTCCTATCCTGGTTATTATTTGTCCTGCAGCTGGTTATATTAGTAGGTTCCATTCGATGACCCATTAATTTTCTCTCTCTTGTAGAACTGCTTTAGATTTCTGTTACTGCTCGTGGCTACTCATAGTGTTATTACATGCATATATTTATGTTCACCTTCTCTTTCTCTTTTGAATAGCTGAGAGAGAAAAAAATGCTCTGCAGTAATGTGTTACTATTTGTGTTTGGGAACCACCTGGGACTGGTGCATAAATATATGTTAAGGGCAGGATAGCAGCTAAAGAAACTTGTTGCCCCGTGTTGCAATCACAATGCGTTCACATTAAACTAGTGAATCATTAGCCTTGCTGATGCATATTGGAGTTGCAGAGCAGAACCAATGGGTTCATGAACATAATGTATTCTCCCAAGGAAGGCTAAAAACCATTTACCGTTCTCTAATTATAAAAGGAGTGGTGCGCTATAAACATGCCTTAGCATGAGTTTGTCTATCTATCTATCTATCTATCCATCGTAGTCTACTACTGGAAGAAGATTTATAAGTCCTGGTGGAGAAATAAGAAACATAGAAACATGAGCTATTGGCTTTGTATTTACATGGGAATTGCCCAATATTCTTTTAGTCTCTTTCTCCTAGGAGTTTTAGAAGAAAAGACCCAGCAGAACTGTAAAATAGCCTTTCTTGTATGTATGGTTTTTAAAATGGGTGGGTTTCAATGTCGAAAAGAAATGCAAATTACCAATGTTTTTCAGGGGCTTTTTATTATCAGTGTGATAATTCAATAGATTATCAGTTGATTTTTAAGTGAAATTCAATCTCATGAGAATTTCAAATTCTAGAAGGATCCAACTGGAGAAATATCAGATAAAGTGATAAAAAAATTATCTGAAGAAAAAGTAGCAGTGTGACATGAAACAGTGACCCCTCCAAAAACATATCATAACTCATCCTTGCTGAAAATTATTGGTCACTCTTCTTCTATTTCTATGGCACTGCCATTAATACTGTGCTTCCAGTAATCCACCTATGGCCCTGCTAGCCTATTATTCAACAATAGTTTAATTTCTCCACATTCCCTGGTATTTTGTGTCAATTATCTCAATATTTTATTTTTATTTCTTTTATGTTATTTTGAAGTGCTTTTTCTCTGTCATATTTTCCCCTTACCACCTTTCAAAAGGCTTCTAAAATGTGATCAGACTCTTACAGAAATGCTAAAAAAAGGAAAAAAATCCTGTCATCAACTGTTTTCTGTTCTTTGTGATTGTTTAAAATCTAAGGGTCCATTCCATAGGAAACTATGTGATTTGAACATATCCTTCATTGGATGCCAGAGAAAGCAGATTGTGATATGGACAGAAAACACTTCTGTCCTCTCTGCTTCCCTGTTCTGGTTGTATTAAGGGATGCGTCTCAACCCTGTTCTAACTTTTATTTCCTAGGTAGCATGATCTTAACTGGGAGTAAAGCTTCTTAATAATCTGACAGAATGATGTTGTACTGCTCTTAGAAGTTGTTGAGAAGTTGCTGCTTGTTGCCTGTTACTCTTCAAAGGAGTATTCCAGTAAAGCCAACTTGATTAGTCATACCCAATACTTTCCCAATGAGCAATTAGGAATGTAAATATGGGAAGACATTTGGGGCTCACGGGGACCCCTGACACTTTTGCAGGTGTGGTAAGACATTATCAAAGTTTTCATGTATTTTACCCTGAATGATGATAATCCAAAAGGGCTCCGTTGCTTGTAAAACAAAACCAGATAATTGTTTAATAAACTGCCCATAAAGAAGCAGAACACTTCCCTCCGACGTTTCATCCTCTTTCCACTGAGGACAGAAGGGTTATTACCTCCCCATGACAGAAAATGTGACAGAGGGTTCAAAAGCAGCAGCTCATTGGAGATAGGGTGAGGCACTCCTGGAAATTGACATTTATTTGTCTGTATGTGCCTGCCCAGATGCTGGAGTATAAGCTCAATTTTTCTGCAGTAAGATAGAAGTCTGGGAATGCTTTCTGCCCTGTATCCAGGGAGCTTTGATCTCCAGCAGCCTGGGGTTGGCAAAGCCCCCAGTGAGATGCGATGCTGGGGGTAGTATTCTGTGCTACCTGGTGCTCATCCTTGCTCCTGAGTTAACAACTGGTGAGACCAGCAGTTCTTGGGCTGTGTGCAGTACAGCCATATGAAATAAAGCTGAAAATTCAGATCTCATTTCTGTCATTTTGCCAGCAGACCCAGAAATACCAGGAAAAGTAGGATCAGTTAATTTTCTCCATGTTATTCCTAGTGCTCAGAGTTTGAGAGAACATGGTACAGGTGCTCAAGTTGACAGGTGACCCCTCCTTGGATGCAGCAGCAGCCCTAGCGCGATAGCATGCTGCTGTGCTCTGTTAATCACTCTTACTAAAAGGCAGTGATTATCATGTGGGACCGTGCCTAGACTGCTTCCAGCCCAGAGCTAATCCAGGAGCACAGCATCATATTCTGGCATACAAATTTTCTATCCAGACTCCCCATGAATTCATCAGATTTCTTTGGCTCATTAGCTTTTACAGTGCTGACATACCTGGAACAGCAACTGGCAAACCTGGATTCACAGAATCACAGAATCGATGAGGTCGATAGAGACCTCTGGGATCATTGAGTCCAACCTTTGCCCTAACACCACCGTGTCAACTAGACCAGGACACTAAGTGCCAGGTCCAGTCTTTTCTTAAACACCTCCAGGGATGGTGACTCCACCACCTCCCTGGGCAGCCCATTCCAATGCCTAAGAATACAATTAATTTCTTTGTGTCCTAGGAGTGGGCAATGGCTGTGACAAGTCAATGTGCTACCCCATCAGGACAAGTGCGATGTGCTTACTAACAACAAGCAAAGGGGATCAATATATTTCTCACTTCGTTTTACCCCCAGTAGTCCTGTGCCACTTGAGAGACTGAGGAGCCCTTCTGGCTGAATTTACTAAATATTAATCACTGTGTAATAAAGCCAGGAAACAAATGCCCCTGGTGCTGAAAAACTTCAAGGAATTGTTTAGACTTAACCTGAAATTAATGTAACTTCCTCTTCACCTCTCCCCTTCCTTCTTTTTCTTTCTACAGGAGAGATGTACCCACAAATTGGGTAACTCTATGCATCTGTTTCAAGAACTGAGAACTGTGAGATTTCCATGCCCCATTGCATTTTTGCACACACAGGAGATTTAAATACTATTCTGGGACTCTGCTGCATGTAAACATCTCCCAGTATCGCTGTGTCATGAAATCCTTTAGTATGAGCCAAAAAACCCTTATGACTTTTACATGAATCACTCTGTTAGCTCCGAATGACACCGACTGTTTGTTTGATCCCAGCCAGAAGGTTATCCTTGTTTCTCTTGTGGGATCAACAAAACTTTGGAATTCTCCTGTAACCTTGCCAGAAATGACAAGTCAAGAAGTGACATACGCAGACCTGATGTTCATGACACTGGAAAAATCCCAGAACCAAGAGCTCCAGACTGCCAGAGAAAAAGGTAGTGGTGGTGTTGGGGGGGCAGTTCTCTCCAAGGCAAACTCTCACCTTGGAGAACATTTTTTATATGGCACTCAGAGGATGTCACATACCAAGAAGCATCTGGCTTCTGGGAGCCCTTTGGACTCAAATCTTCTAAGAAATTGGAGGGAGAAAAGAAAAAAGGCAGGAGATTAAAAATGATGAAAGGGTGGAGAATGTGGAAAAACTGTTTTGATTTGAGAGGAGAGATATAATTAAGCTTGTGGGATGCAGTTAAGAAAAAATAAACATGTTCCAGTTAGACATTAAATGTCAGCTCCTGGAA